CACATTTATCGAAATATCCCTCCGCCGACGTGCAAATCCCCTTGGCATCCATACGGTCGCGGAATTTAAATGTCCAACCATTACTCTCCATTGTATTTACTCCTCGCTCCCTCGTGCTCGGTGTAGGCTCGCCGACTAGCTCCCGTTCAATGGGTACGAGGCCCATACCCCATGAACTAAAACCCCTAGGATCTTAATAAATACGGGTTGTTTAATCCCGTGGGTTTTATGTTGCATTCCAATCGTCGGGATAAAGTGTCTTCCCGGGTGATATAGAGCTGAGGGCAGGCCTAGCTGGCCACCCCGGGAGCAGAGGCGCAGCGAGAAACGAGTCTCTGCGCACGTTTGAATGGAGGCGTTCTCGGCGACGAAAGGAACGTATGCGAGGATCGGCGCTCGAGACTCCCGCGTATTATGCTCGATTGCTGACTTATCCGCCACCCTCTCGCGGCCCTAGTCCATGGTGAGCCGCCCCACGAGCCGGAGGAAGAGCAGCCCGAGGTCCAGCGCGCGCGGCAACATGGCCAAAGGTGAGGAAAAGGCGGAGTTGTCCCCGTGTGCTTTTTCTCGCTTCGTTCTGCCTAACGGTTCCTCCTCCTCCTCCTCCTCCTCCTCCTCCTCCTGCTTCCTCCTCCTCCTCCTCCTCCTCCTCCCCCTCCTCCTCCTCCTCCACCCCCCCCTGCTCGTCTTTGTTTTGATTGTCATTTTTATGCCATTCCGGTTGAAAGTCTCGTTTTTGGTGGCGTGTGCGCGTGTGGCAGGGGATCGTAGGCCTACCTTTGTCTCGTAGGCCTAGTCTCTTGCGCCTGAAAACGACCTTCACAAAACTCCCTTTTTTTCGTTATTTGTCTAAGGCGGTGGAAAGCAACAGGAGTGCGGGGGGAAAGACCTTTTATATATATATATATATTTGAAAGACTTCTCTATACCTGTTTCCCCCCCCCCCTCAATTTCACGATATACCGAGGGAATTCTCTCCCCCCCCTCTCCCTTCCCCTCCCCTCCCCTCCCCCCATGCCCTTATCTCGTCTTCGCATAATATTTTCACTGTAAATGCTTCCTGATAAGAGCCTGCTGGGTGGGTGGATGCACTGTGACCTGTGGTTTGTGCTGTTGGTGTGGAATATATCTTTGTGTGAGGGAGGGACTGGCAAAGTGAGGGAGAGAATTCTTGTTAGATGGTGTAACATTATACTCATAGCCACTAATCTAGGTAGGTAATGGGTCTAATATGCTTTATGGTAAATACAGATGAACTAATCTAGGGACTTGATGGATAGAATTATCTATAAGGTAAATGCAGATGACTTAGTCTAGCTAATTATTAAATATAATAAGGTAGATATAGAAGATTTAGTGCAGGTAATTAACAGATCTAACATGCAGTAAGCAACAAGTTTGCACCACATTAAGCGTGAATTAGTGTATGTTCACATGTGTGTGTGTTTGTAAGTGTTTATTACCTAGCATGAAGTAGTTAATAAATCTAACATATTGTTTGGTAAATACAGAAGAACTAGTCAAGATTGTTGATGAATCTAACATAAAGTACAGTAAATACAGAACTAGTGTAGGCAATTGGTAAATGTAATGTGAAGTAAGCTACAAATTTGTACCACATTGTGTATCGGTTAGATTATGTTTGTGTGCGCGTGTGTTTGTAAGTTTTTGTTGCCAACCGTGATAAAAATAAACTGAAGATTGTGAGAATATTAGCGATACCTGTTTGCCGATTATATTTAGTGCCTAGTATTGAAGGTTGTATTTTATGGCAATTTTATAAATATGGAGTTATGCTTAACTATGCTTATACATAATTTGTAGTCTCCAGTGTTTTTCTTTTTTCTTTTTTTCTTTTTTTTTATCTGGGAGCTACAGCTGGTGAGGACCTAGGAAGCAAACTATATACTCTCGTAAATTACTGAAAACCCGTGAATTTTTACTTATGACCATTGTTTTAGTGTTTTAGTACAAGATTATTCACTGACAAAGTAGCATTTATTCCCTTAGTAATATATATGGCTGAATATTGTTCACATTAAATCCAGTAGTTTTATTCTGTTCTTTTAAATGTATAGTCCAGTTTCTCTTGTATTTTTGTTGTTTGATCAGCCAGAAGTAGTAGCGCATTGCCTTAATGTTGTCCTGTTATGCAAAATATGGTTCTGAGTCTCTCTCTCTCTCTCTCTCTCTCTCTCTCTCTCTCTCTCTCTCTCTCTCTCTCTCTCTCTCTCTCTCTCTCTCTCTCTCTCTCTCTCTCTCTCTCCCCCCCCCCCCCCTCCTCCCCTTTATTTTCTCTTTGCTTCTTTTTCCAATCTCTTTACTCATATTTTCTTCTTTCCTACTTTCTTTTTTTCCCCTCTCCTTTCTCATCCTCATTTCTTTCATCCTCATTTTGCTGTTATCATCTTACATGCCGTTCCCTGGGCCTCATAATGTTGATTTATTATCGTCCAGAGAAGCAACAGGAATTCAGAGTAGCTCACCTGTTGGACATTGCTTATCTGTGTAGTAAAGGGATCACCCTTGTTGTGAATGGTTTTGCAAGTCAGATTGCCAGAGTTAGTTCTGAAATGGGTAAGAACTTTATTTGTAATTGTAGAGACCTGTGGAGATTGGTTAAAGAGTTATTTTCACGTTCTTTGTAAAAATTTTGGTGCAGCATTAGTGACAGGTTACATAACTAGAGTTTGTATGTATTGTGGGAATATTGTTGAAAGTGGTGGTACAGGAAGTCCCCAACTTAAGAACATAATGGGGACCGAGAGGCTGTTCGTAACTCTATTTGTTTGTATATCCAAATTCGGGTCTCCATTGCCTTTTTTCCCATTGTTTTAAAGTTTTGTTTACATCAAGAATACCTGGACATAAATCCCAATAAGTACAACATACCGTATACAGTATCTGTAATATGTAATGCTTTTAATATTATTTGATGGTGATTCATACAACTTTCATGTAGAAACATAATTTATTAAAAAAGAAAATATATTGTAGTGGTGACTGGCTGGCGAACCGATTGATAAGCTCGATAAAGTTATAGCCTGACGTTTCTTGGCACTTCCACTGGCTTCACTGTTTATCTTTCTCTGCACACCTGACATTTTTGATGGATTGATGCATAGGTAAAGCGAATTATGGCACAAAAATTGGCGGTACATGAGGACACAGTGAAGAGATGCTTTCGTGTTTATGGCGGGAGGGTAGGCGAGTGAAGCGCACAGCTGAGTGAGCGCGCCAGCGCCATGGCGTGGCAGACTCGTGAACTATATTTGCGCCCGGGAAATTTGAAGTTTGCTAGCATCTTTCAAACAATATTTTGGACTTAGTGTTTTAAAAAATTTGTTCGTCTATATGGAATGTTTGTAAATAGGGGACTTTCTGTATTGCTTTTTGTGTATTATGTTAGGAACTGTTTTAGAGGACATAGATTTTTATGTATTTTTTTATCCAAAATGATTAGTTAGTTATGAATCTCATGCAATATGGGAAGTAACATTATTGTGCAAAATATGTAATTGTATGCAATATGGTTGGCTAACTGTAGAAGATGGATCAAGTAACTAATATAATCATCAGTTGGTAGCCTCTTGCCACTGGTGTTCGTTATCCAAGTCCTGGTCATTTTGAGGGCAGCAGAACAACAGCCCTTTGATGCCTGGTGTAAACTTTCACAAGCCCCAACCACCTTGCCCTGTTCCCCTATTTCATTCTCAGGATTTTTCCCCTACTTCCACAAATATCCTTTCTTCCTGTATTACTATTTGATTGTTTCACTAAAAGCTGTTTAGCATTTTTTTTTTTTTTTTCTCTCTCCCATAGTGTTACTCTTCCTTCCTTAGACACACACTTTCCATTTGATCTGATCGGCCTATACCTTTAACCACATCCCCGTTTACAAATCCCCACTACATGCCATTTGCTCCCCACCTATACCCTTTTCACTAATATTCTCTCCTACAGCATTCTACAACCTTTCCACCCTTTTCGCCACAATACTTGAACACAGAGTGTAATTCGATGTCTAGCCCATTATTTCTTCTAAACTTTAACCATTCACTAGCACTAAGTGTTTTAAGAGTTTTTTGATATCTGTGGTTAAGAATTGAGTGGGTCTTCTTTGAGGATTTCAGGAGATTACGAGAATGTGTCGGGTAGTATCTTTCTGTGGTGTCAGTAACTGTTCAAACAAATCTGTGATGCTCTTAACCCAATGATGCCGGGTGTACAAAACAAAAAAAAAAAACTACGCTCTAGCAAACAAAGGCGGCGCGCCGACTTTGAGCGCATGAATAGGAGACATCAGCCTGAATCACTGGCTCGCCGCCGTGGCGTACAGCCGCATGCCAGCTTTTGAGCGGTTTCTTTACACGCTGATCGGCGTCACCTGGCACCAAGGGGTTAAGAATTAAAGTCTCTTGCTAAAGATAGTCATTGTAAATTTATATAATGGTTTTCAAAAAGTTAAGGAGTCAAATTTTCCAAGAATATCAGTTCTACTCCATTTTGAACCCAGATGTTTTTGTGCACATGATTCTGATGCATGTTCCTCTCATGCATACCATCTTCGCAGTGTTTTGTGCAGCCAGTCTTTTTCTGTTTTCTCTCCAACTCCATGAGAAAATGTGTTTATTGTAAGCTAACCATAGTCTAGTCATGAATTAATATTTGTATCAGTAATCTATGTATATACAGCTAATTTGTGTGGTGCAAATTTAGAAATTGATACACTGTACTCCAGTTAAATAGTCACCTTATTATTTCTTTGATAAAGTCTTGTTTTGTATCATAAATCTTGATCTTGACCCACACACACAACTGTTTGCCAGCACTGGCCACTTGTTTCTGATGCAATTTGTATTAATGAGCAAATTTGCATCATTTTTGCCAAATTTAGGTTGAATTCTTGTCTGGTTTAGATATAGTGATTGCACTGGTTCAGATCTAGATGTTAAGGATGGTACTTATTTATGTGCTGTGGTTATTTCTGCCTGAAGAAACTGCGTGAGAACTTTTACTTCAGCTAGAAGTACTGTAGGACCTGTGGTAGGAAATAGATGTATGACCACAGCTAGAAGCTGGCAAACAAAGGCGGCGCGCCGACTTTGAGCGCCGGAGTACGGGGCGTCAGCCCGAATCACTGGCTCGCCGCGCTTTGGCGTTGTTTATGTTGTCTTGAAAATCAAAACTTTATAATTGTTCTCAATCTTAATGTAATCTCACTTTCAAGGTAAATCCCAGTAACAAGCTGTAATAGCTATTATTATGGAATGTTTACTGGTTTCTTTGAGATTTATGTAATTGACTGTGGTAGGATGTAGTATCCTGTTGTTAAGGAGATGTTTTGTTGTACTTGATTTATTATCATTATAATTATTATTATATTATTATAATTATTATTATATTATTATTATTATTATTATTATTATTATTATTATTATTATTATTAATGATTTTTTATATGGAACCATGTAGAAGTGCTCTGACGGGTGGCGGACTTCAGTAGTTCATTTATTAGTCCAATCAATCTTGCCTGTTTACCCTTTTCCTTGATTTTTGAAAAGTTCCTTTTGTATTATTTCATTGTCTTTAATAATACCAAGATTTTAATAACCATTTAATAATCATAATATCAGTAAGAATAATACCAGTAGTGAGATCAATAGCATTAGAAAGTTCAAGGAGTGGGGAAATTTGGCTAGGTCACTAGGGCCTACTGGTAGACCCCTTGCTGCCTGAGCACATGTAGAGCTATCTGTATGTAACAAAATTCACATAAAACTGAAGGGGACATTGCATAAATCCATGGTAATTGGGATAAAAGTATTTTTGATGCTGTACTTGGACTCACATCTATGGTATAACTACATAATGATCCTTTCCTGGGAGTGATGTCACTGTTTTATTTCATGATTTTGGTCATTATTTGTGCTAGAGCTATGAAGTAGCAAACCCTGCCCTTCGGCAATGAGTTTAGCGTACAACTCGCTGTTTGGTGGGGAGTCAGAATATACCTGGGATTTCTGACAGACTCTGCTGGCTGATTCTATACACTCCAAGCATCCAAGTTCCCAAATTAATTATTGCCAATTTGACTCCTATTGCCCAGTAAAAGTATTTGCAGTCTTGTTCTCATTTAGTTATTTATAGTCTCTGTTGTTCTCAGTGTAAAGTCTAGCAAAAGCCGTTGCGTCCTCCACAATATGAGATTATGTATTATAAACAGAAATTATATGTAATACTATGTTCTGTTACAATTGGGGTCATACTGCTAATGATTATAGCAGAGAGCATTGGGCCAAGACTGAATCGAAAGGGATCCATATTTCAAAGGTATTGTCTTGATGTACTATATTTATGACATCTATTGGGAATTGGTCTGATAACAGTGATTCTGTTAGATGTAATGCAAAATTCTGAACACCAAATGCTGGATTTTTCAGGTCCCACTTTGGCAAATTTTTGATCATATATCAGATAATGCATAGTGGAACATCAGAGTTTAATGAACCCCCCACATTTGAATGACTTTCTGCTATAATATAAAGGATTAGAATAAAGTTACACCTTGTTTATGCTTGTTTTCCTCTTCAAATGATAGAATGTACATATAGGTGCATTGAATAAAAAAGTCCTATATCAAGTGGGAGGACAAGGGAAAGCAAAAGAGAAGGTACTTTGCCTCATGAAATATGCTAAATACTAGCAGAATTATTACTTGACACTCGCTGTTCTCCATTCACAAACAGAAAAAGGTTGGAGTGTAGCTGTATGAGCAATGATGCCAGATGTCCTTATATACTTAATGTTTCATTGACAATGAAAAGAAAGCCTGCCAGATATTGATAGCAAGTGTCTGTTCATGCTGAATAGGATTTTTTGCCTTAAACTATGGTCTTGGCAAATATGTCTTAACATGTTAGATCTGGTCGTGTCCCGGGCCATAATCCAGACACTAGGTATATTAGTGGTGACTCATGGGTGTCTGGCCCACAAGAATCCCTGCCTCTTTGCAATGCTATTATGCTTAAGCATTTTTTTTCTGTTTTGCTGTTGCCCAAGGTGTGTATTTGACATTATTTATGCTGTATCAAGATGGTAAGACTATTTTCCAAATGATCAAACTCCATGTTATCTCTAGATAGTGTACAAGTCTGTGCAGTAACAATAACAATATGTAACCCCCCCTCCCCCTAGACATTTATAGAATCTAGATTGTAGTGCACAATTATTTTAGGCTGTCCATGGCCTGCACAGGAGAAAATTATATAAACCATTTTTTAGTTAGCAGGTTGTTTAGAACTGCAAAAGATGTTATTTGGTCACCCTCAGCAGATATAACTTAGCTTGTGTAATATTCCACTTAGCATTTTAACTGACACCAGAAGGGCATATAAGCATGCGCTTTGTCCACTGTAATGTGTATGCATAAGGATAGCTCCAGAAATGCATCGTCATCAGAGTCCATTTCTAATCCTAATTGACTTCCCTGTTTTACCTCGTTCCTTGATCTTCTAAGAGACATTTGTTTTATTGTATTTTTTCTTATTTTAGGTTAAAGACAGCTAAAGAGGATACTACATAAGACATGAAAGATAATTGTTCTCTGTACCATCGCATATAAACATAATTCCCAAGTTACATTGATATACACTCTGATTTTGACCCTTTCCAGCTGTTTCATGACTAGACTTGTCTAGAGTTGTCAGTGAAAGAATAACTAACTAGACCTGTTTTGTATTACAGGAAAGCGGCGAACTGACCGTAGCAGCAAGGACGAGAATGCTGTCCTTAGTCACCTAGATGGGCCGAAGGGACCCAAGGACTCGAGACTGGAGGCAAAGGTGGTCAACGGTTCCCTCACCAATGGCAAATTAGGTCACACTACAAGCACAACGCAGAAGGAAACCAAGATTACCACCTACTTCTCTCCTTCAAGGTCGGTGCCTCTGCAGGTCTTCCAATCAGTGTGTGGAAGGGAGTGTGGGGGAGAGCACAAGCTGGTTTGAGCGGAGGTTGAGTTGGCTTGAGACGGAATTTTTGTTTTCAAGTGGTCGTCTCAATAGCTGTCGGATAAATATTTTTGATTTCTTTCGTATCCAGTAATTCATCTATCTCCCAGGAAAGAAAGTATCCTTCAGTTTGGTTATGTAAGAGTGGTAGAAAATTTACTTCAGGAAAGAGAGTGAATGAGTGAGTGAGTGAGAAAGAAAGATAATCATTATTTTTTTTGGTTGTTCATAGATTTGATTTCCGTGATACTATAGATTAGATGCTATCATAGAAATAACAATTAAAAAAATTCTATTGCATGGTATGTTTCAGGTCACCCCCAGCTGCAGATGATGCAGAGGGGCCCAGAGGCGAAACACATGGTGGAGACAGTTGTGATATGAATCCAGAACTAAGTAGTGCCCAGTTGAGTCGTACCCACCCAAGCTCTGCCCCAAGCACCCCAACCAAGATGATGAATGGCCACGCAGAAAGCGCAAATCTGGTGACAGCCTTTACCACCCCCCCAAAGCGCACAGTCTGCACCCGCAGCCAGGCCCTGAAAGAGTTGCAGCTCCAGACCTCTCCTACAGCTCCTAACTCTGCCAGTGTTCCCTCGAGTCCCAGCCAGGCCGGTGCAACGGCAACGACCCCCATGGGCCCCAGTACCCCTACCTCACCCACTCCAGCCTCAGCAGGAGAGGATGGCAGTAGCCCCCACACAGGGCCACCCACACCCCACAAGATCCAGGCACTCAATGAAGAGAGGCTAAGACTAGACTCACCTCTGTCCCCATCCTCAGCTTTATCCAAGCTAAAGCTCTCCCTGACACCAAAGAAGCTAACCTTTAATGGAAAAACTACAAAGGCTAGGAAAAAGTAAGTATGACCTTTGCTGTGTCTTTGACTCTGTCTGTAGACTTCTGTGGCCATTTGGTTCCAAGAACAGGAATGTGACATTAACCCTTGTAACTTGAAGTGAATTTATTGTTTCCCTGTTAATTCCTCTCAGGCTGCCTGTGCAGAGCAACACCACCAGGACAGCTACGCACGCAAAGCCCGAAAAGCCAGCCAAGAGTACCACAACTACCAAGACCCAAGCCAATGGGGAAGCCAAATCAAACCTTCGCAGTACACAGATGACCGAGTACTTCCCCATAAGGAGGTCAGAGAGAAAGCCAAAGACCACACTGCTTCAGGAGCGGCAGAAGGCCATAGAGGAAAGGATAATTAGTGGATCTGAAGAAGGGCTCACTGTAAGGCTCTCGGCCTCTTAGTTGGAATTGGTTTTCATGTTTATATTTTCTAAATATACTAGATGGATGTATGAAGATCTCAAAAAAAGAAAAGAAAAGAAAAAGAAGTAATATATGCTAATGTTTTTACTTCACTGTAATTATTTCATTTTTTTTTTTTTTTCTTAGGTCAAGCATTTTGGAGCAAAGGGCCGTGGTGTAATAACAACAAGAAAGTTTGCCAAAGGAGAGTTTGTGGTAGAATACATAGGTGACCTTATAGATATGCAGGAAGCCAAAGAGAGGGAGAAGATTTATGCACAAGATGCCTCCAAAGGTTGTTATAACTACTACTTCACTTTTCAGAATCAGCAGTACTGGTGAGTCAGTTTTTTTTTTGTAGTATATCAGCAGTAGCAGTGTTCTCTCCTCTCTCCTCTCCACTCTCATATAGGATTTATCATAAATATTTTCACTGTACTATTTGCTAATATTAGAATGCTTATTGTGTTAATAAAAGCAAAATACTGATGTGATTAGTAGGAAAAAGAGGATTGTGATACTTGTTTATCATTATGCCCAAGAAACTACTATGAGTACCCCTTCCATTTTAGTTTGCAGCCTATTGTGTTGTCTATAGTGGTACATGGCTGTAAAAGTGTAGACTAGCTTTTAACCGATTCGCGACGGGCTGTCATGTATATGTGACATGCCCACTGTGAGTTTACTTGTTTTATTGTTTTATTACATAGATGGCTACACTTGTACTAAAACACCAATGAGCCAGTTACGAGTACTGCCTGTCTCGCCCGTTTACCCTTTTCTTTAATTTACAAAAATATTTTATGTTATCTTATTTTGCTGTTACTAATGTTAAAAAACATTATAATAATTATAATGTTTATAATAAAAATAACACCATCGATATTCATAGCACTAGTAAAAAATGCATTTTCCCGCCAATTCAAGGAAAGGTGAAATCAGGTAAGGCAGAGCCATCTATGTGTAGAGACATTTCACAAAAAAATATTAAAAATGAGCACAGCTTTTTCCCCATTTTTTGTTAATTTTCCCTGTCGCAAATGGGCTAAGGCTTTTCATCAAGTTTGCCTGGAGCTCTTCTAGGATTTTGATGAGTAGCATTAATGTGCTTGCATTATTGAGGATTTTGTAGACATGGAAGTTTTAAGGTTAAGGTTTATTTAATGGTACCACTTGTAGTAATAAGATGCAAGTTGAGATTTATCTTGCTTTTGTGTGTGTGTGTGTATGAGTGAGAATATATAATATGTATGTGTTGTTTTTTATGGTGAACTAAATATTTTACTTGAATGAGATTTTAGTTCAAAGTTTACTTAGAATTGGATGTGGGTGCATCATTAAAATTATATGTACATTTAGGATATAAGTTATATTGATACTTCTGCAGTTAAAGATGATTATTTTCCCCTCCAGCATTGATGCAACAGAAGAGAGCGGCTACCTAGGGCGGCTGGTGAATCACAGCCGAAATGGCAACCTGGTCCCTAAGGCAGTGGAAGTGAATGGAAGGCCACACTTGATCCTTTTGGCCAAGCATGACCTGGAGCCAAGCATCGAACTCTTATATGACTATGGGGACCGCTCGAAAGAGGCTCTGGAACATCATCCGTGGCTAGCTTCGTGATTTCCAGCTAGGTGTCAATAGGGAGAGATGGGTTTAATATATTTTGTCAATTTGAGGTTCACAGGGGTTCAGCTACACTTGCTAGCAAGGTTTTGTTTTCTTGACAGTATTAAATAAAACTGCTTGAAAGTCGTCTCGAAAAACTTGAGAGGCAATCCGAGAAATAGGAAGAAAGGAAGTTGATATTGTTATGATTTCACATACATTTTCCTTTTCATATTTTCTCCAGTGATGTTTGAAAAGGAAAATGGAACTGGTTGTGCATATTGTTTTAGAATAGATGGATTTTTCATGTGTTATGAAAGGATGTTAAGGTAGCTCTACCCCTGTAACCTGCAAGCTGTGATGTGTTTGTCACCTCTACTATACTGCCAGTCTCTGATGCTCTTGTCCTTGCACACAGCATAGATTTATCGCATCAGGTCACCTCTTGAAGTTGGTCTGGTGGTGTGCAAAGGCTATTATTATACTGTAATTTTTAGGTCAGTAGAACTATTTTGAATTACTACTACTTGTAATATCTGTTTTAATGAGAAGGGACTGTATCTGTCTCATTTTTAACAGCTGCACTTTTGAGACCAAATAGTTGTTATTATGGGTTTGGAATGAGCCAAGTGTGGAGTCTTAGGCTTTTTAGATGCCTCTGGCACAAATATCGACAAACCTGCAAGGCTGTCGGACTTGGAAGAAGCCGTAGTCTTGCCTATGCTTTTGTTAGCAGCAGGATCATTTGCCTGAAGATTAGCAGTTACTTAAGAATTATTTATAATAAGTGAATGGTGAAAGAGAAACTGTGTAAAGCAGTACTTATTCATTGTGCGAGTGCAAGTGCAAGGCAGGTGAGATGGTGATGGTTCTGGAACGTATCATTCAGAACTTGGAAGCGAATGAGCCGAGATCCTCAAGAGAGTGTGTGTGACTGGACCCTGATTTTTATTATTTATTTTTGACTAGTGTATTTTGCAGTACTACGTGTGAGCTGACTTTAGCATTTATACAAAAGACAAGAAGGTTTGGACTGTCTTGAGTTTTGATCTCACATTTTTTCATAGGTAGATTGACTTTTTCAACATTTATTAGTGGATGGATAATACCTATGTCTCAAATGGTGGTAAACATCAGTGACTTGTCTCTAATTTCATTTCACATGCTTTGTTGTCATAAACAACCATCATGCAAAGAAACTACTAGTTTTTAAACATGTGGACAGCAGAGAATGGAAGATATTGAGTTTGTATATTGTTTAGTCATGTGTATAGATGAGTTTTTAAGTTGTGTAATTTGCTGGTAAGAATGACATTTAAACATGGAGATCCAATGTGCTTGATGGCACCCAAGAAAGGTCTCTTGGGGCCTCCTCTGAGTGCAGAGTTCCTATGTTGAATTTAAAACTGTTTACTATTTTAGGAGTTTGGGATTTAGGGAAGAAGGGTTTGCATTTCTACCTGTGACTATCAGAGCCCAGCACTGTGAAGACTGCAGGGAGCATGTGAGCATTGACCAGTTATCCTCAAAGGGATTGTAAACACTAATGACAGTGATTGTGAAATGTGCTGATGAAGGTACCAATGATGATTTTAGCAAATATATTTTGTCAGAGGAGAGGA